TGTAAAATCCGATTTGGTTTTAAAATGGTTTTGATAAACTGAGAGAGTCGAGAGAAGGCCGACTATCACTTTGGTTAAGTGTAACCCTTATACACAAGTAAGTTATAGCTAGAGAACTTTTAGGTCACCGACAGACTGCTAGACATGGCTGAGGCCATAGTCTGTGATATACGTGGCAAGGCCAAGGGTTGTATATGTGGCTAGGCCACAGGTGATATTCGCAATTGCGATCGCTTGATTTCTTTGATATCAGCCAACATCGTTGAGACTGCCATGGCTGTGGAGATTCAGTGGAGCAAAGCTCCCAGATGTTTTTACTTGGAAATGGGTCCACGGGTGATTACTATACTTACCTACTCGAGAGCCTTGTGAGTTTTCGACGCATACTCTTTTGCATGGTAGAGATTTGAGATTTCTTTGCAACTTCTCTGTTGAGAATAAAAGCTTTTAGTGATTACTTGACGAGCATGAGATGTTTTACGTGGTGGTACACTTGATTTCTTTATATGCCACATATTTTGGGAGCGTGCATACGTTATATCGTTATTCATATTTGTATGGCAAGCAATGTTTTTGACGTTTGAATTTGGTTTCGTAACATTGTTTTCGGCACCATTTTGCCAAGTGAAATATTGTATTATGATTTACGTCAATACTTTTAGAAGGCACAAATATCTTACTTATGATTTGGTTTCTTAAGACTATGATTTGATATTTCAGTTTTATTATTAAACTTATCTGCCTTACGCTTGTTCCCATCTATGCCCTGTTTATGGAACCGATGATCACTAAGTCTGTGAGACTCACCCTCCTTATTTTCTTTTTGTAGATAGTGATTAGCTTAGCGTGCAATCATCGGTAATTTCAATCCACCGTAGATAGGTAAAGGCATCTCATAGCACTTTATTTCGAGTCGTTCCGCTGTTAAAGGTCGAGTCATCATAATGTAAATTGTTATGAAATTAGACAATTGTGTCAATCCAAATGTACATTTGAAGATTATAATTTTTGATGTATTATCTTTTATGATTATGTGGAATAAAGGTTTATTTAATTTATAAAGAGCATTGTTCAATTCTCTTTACAAAGAGTTTTATGGATCGAAATGATGTTATAGATTGATGGTATGAATATGAGATAATGACTAATGTTTTAAGTAAGGTTTATTCGAGACTTGGTAGGTTCTTCCGGGAGACTCGGATGCCGGTAGCAATCGAGGAGCGGTTGTTACAAATCCTATAAGAAGTCTTCCCCATTTTTGTTGTAATCTGCACAAGCCTTCATACTTCGATATCAATAGTCTATCCCTCCTTTTTAAGAATTGGAGTTATTTGAGTACTAGCTTAACTAGTACAAGGTCCCCCACCTTAAAGTGTTGCTCTTTACGACCTTTGTTTACCCACTTTTTCATGTGGCTAAAGGCTTTCTCTAGATAAGCTTGAGTAATCTCTATATTTTATCTCCATTCCTTAGCAAAATGGAATAATTGAGGGTTTTTCATGTTATAAGACTCCACCGAGGTGTGGAAAAATCTAAGTTGTTGCCCTATGACATCCTTGAAAGGGGTTTTGTTCATGGTGAAACTCTTTTGTGAATTGAAACATAACTAAGCCACATCTAATATATTAGGCCAATTTTTTTTATTTACTTGTGCAAAGTGTCCTAGATAGACCTCCAATAGTTCGTTGAAACGTTCTATCTGACCATCTGTTTATGGATGATAACTAGAGGAGATGTTGAGTTCTAACCTTAATAACTTGAAGAGTTCTTTCCAAAAGAAACCAGTAAAACGGTGATATCTACCACTGATAATGCTCGTAGGTACGCCTTAATACTTCACCACATATTTGAAAATCATGCAAGCTGTTTATTTTGAAGAGCTGAACTTTTGTACGGGAATAAATGTAGCATATTTTAGAAAACGATCCATTACCCCCAGAATTGCTATCATATCTCCCACTTTAGGAAGCCTTACTATGAAGTCAAGAGAAATACTTTCCCACTGCCTACTCAGTACTGATAACAGTTCAAGTGTCCTTGCTAGTTTCTATCTCTCTACTTTGTCTTGTTGGCAAATAAGACACGTCTTAGTATAATCCATCACATCTGGTCGCATATGAAGCCAATAATACCTTTGTTTCAATAATGCAACTGTTTGCTGCCAACCTAGATGCGTACTACATGGAGTATCGTGGTATTCCCACATCAACTTTTACCTCAACTCCCCTATTCTTGGGACAAAAATTCATGATCCTTTTGTTAGTAGAAGTTCATTTTTCACCCAAAAGTACTTGGACTTTCCGCTTTCTATCAATTTCATAATGGCAATTGCTTAAGGATCTCGATGCAAATTTTCTTTAATAAGATTATGGATATCTGTAGTCACTTTGCTGGCTGTCATTGGCGCAATCACCTTGAAAGTTGTAAACTCGACCCTCTTGCTAAGGGCATTTGCCACGCGGTTCACTTTTCCAGCTTTATGATCGAAAAAGAAATCAAATTCAGCTAGGAACTCTTGCCATCTCGCTTGCTTGACTGTAAGTTTTGACTATGTGAGGAAGTAACTTATAGCAGTGTTGTCGGTCTTAACTATGAATTTTGATCCTAGCAAGTAATGTCCTAAGCCTGTAAACAGTGAATCACTACTAGTTGTTCTTTCTTTTGTGCCATGTATCTCCTTTCAACTTTGTTTAATTTACAACTTTCAAACACAATTGGGTGTCTTTCTTGAAACAACATTTCTCCAAAGGCTAAGTCCGATGCATCCTTCTGTACCTCGAAGGGCTTTTCGATATTAGGGAGTGCTAAAACAAGATCTGTCATAATTGCATCTTTCAAGCCTTCGATAACTTCTTAGCACTACGATGTCCAACTCCACTTTTGTCCCTTCTTCAGCAATTCTGTGAGTAATACCATCTTTTTTGAATATTCCTCCATGAATCTTCAATAATAATTGGCTAGTCCTAGGAACGAATGAAGCCCAGTTATATTCTTAGAGGTGACCCTTTCTTTGATAGCTTTTAATTTCTACATATCTATTCGAATGTGTCCTTGTTCGTTTATGTGGCTAAGGAACTAAATTCAGGTTTGCGTGAATGCAAATTTCTCTCTTTTCACATACAGTTGGTTGTCATGTAACCTTTGGAAGTCTTGCTACAAATGCCTTTGATGCTTCTTTAAAGTTGAACTATACACCATGATATCATCCAAGTAGATTACCAAGAACTTGTCTAGATAATCATGGAAAACCTGATCCATCAATGTGAAAAAGGTGATAGGAGCATTGGTTAGTCTAAAACGCATAACAAGAAATTTGAATGCACCATACCGCGTCACACAAGTGGTTTTTTATTCATCTTCCTCAACAACTCTTACTTGATGGTAACTTGATCTCAAATTTAATTTGGAGAAGTACTTTGCATGACTCTGCTGGTCAAAGAGATCGGCTATAAAGGGAATTGGATATTTATTATTGATTGTGACTTTGTTCAGAGCCCAATAATCCACACACAACTAAAAACTCGGATCTTGTGTTTTTTTTTTTAAGAATACCAAGGCCCCAAAAGGTTCCTTTGATGGTCAAATGAATTTATCTTGAATCAGCTAGTTTAATTGCTTCCTTAGCTTTTCTAACTTTGGGTGAGCCATCCTATATGGCTCTTTTGTAAGTGGCTTAATGCTTGGGAGTAATTCTACCTCACGATCAACAATTTGTTGACGTGATAGAACCTTAGGTAGCTATTCTGGCATCATGTCCTAAAATTCTTCCAAAAATAGCTTCACTCCTTCAAGTATTAGATTTGTATTATCTGCTCATTTGTAGATGGGCATGCCACATGGGAGGGCTTTCGTTGGAGCTGGTACCACACATGGTTGTTCCCCGAAAAATATTAGACAACTCGTAGCAAGGAATAAGATAGCCTGTGCTTTCTTTATGAAATCTAAGCCTAAAACAAAATCAAAGTCATCTATGGTGGCAACAGTCACGTTTACTTTTCCCTCCCAAGAACCAATCTTAACTTTTACATCTTCGGAGTTGCCCATAATAGCTGAAATTAGAAAACTGATAGCTTTCATCTGCCCAAAGTCTTTCTCAACCTTAAAACCACATCTCTTTGCCTCTCTTGGGGTAAAGAAGGTATCGGAGGCTTTATGTCAAGCATGGCTTTGGTCTTTTTATCATTAACTAACACATTCATATACATGAGACCTCGTTGAGGTTTTTTCTTCATATTTTCTAATTATGCTTGCAATGCACTAAAAAACCAAATAGAACCCATATTTGCTAACTCCTCATCAACTTCCTTAACTAGGGTTTAGGCTCGAGTTGCTTTTACATTCGCCGTACATGTCGTGTTAAGAGTTGCTCAATATAGGCATTTAGCTATTCTATAAGGTTCCTTATAAAGAAAACAATATATTGGGGCTCGAGATTTGAAACACCATGGCTTAGTTGTTTTGGTTGTGGTGTGTCCAAAGCAGATGGTCTCCTTTCTTTTCCCCCACATGAATGTTTGCTAACTCTTGAAAATTTGACTGCACTATTAGAGCTAGAGTTACTAGTTCTTCATAGAGGGTCATTCCATTTATAGGAGATATCACTATAATCAGTAAGATGTTCTGCAACCATCATTGTTGAACCCATGTCCTAAACCTTCGGTCGTTGTAACTTGGTCCTCACCCATGGCTTCAAACCTTCAAGAAAATAGAATAACTTATCTTTTTCGATCATGCCCATAATATTTAAGATTAGGGTAAAGAAGTTTAGCATAAGTTTTTGTACTGACCCAATTTGCGTAAACTCTCGCAACTTCCTTCATGCCATGAACTCTACACTTTCAAGAAAAAATTAGTTCTTATTCTCGCTCAGGTCCACCCACGTCTGTATCTAACACTTATCATCAACGAATTTATAACACCACCATAATTTGGCATCCCCTGCAAGATACATTGTGACGATTGCCACCTTTTCTTCCTCCAACTTAGTATCCAAAGTAATGCTCAATATCGAAAAGGAAGTTCTTCAGCTCTTTTGCATCACTTGCCCCTTTATATTGTTTGGGCTCTAGCACTTTAACCCTTGTCCCTCAATCTCTTGGGTTTATACTGTTGTTACTGGAAACAATAATCAAGTGGTTTACTAAGCTTTTAATTCTCCAAACTAGCCTTAGAGAGTGCTCAACGTATGCCTGGTCTTATCACTTAGAATATTTTTCATTTCAAAAATTTCTAGCTAAATTATCTCAATTTCATTTATCTGTTCATGCAGGACCACTTGAGTTTTTATTGCAGCCATCGTGGCCTCTAACTTATCAATTCTCTGATGGTCTTCTGGTGCACTTTGCGTGGTCCTTATTTTGTTCTTTCACTTAACACATCTCATTGGTGCGCTAATACCAACTATCACAAGCTACACTCCTTCACTTAAGTATGTAATAGTCCATGCGACGCTTGAGTGGATGCTTTCACCCAAGTTAGCCAATAATATATCTATATCTGAACAAACATCAACCATAGCCACAAATTAGATTAAAGGCAATGCACATCAAAATCAAAGGCATGTTGTATGCCATATGTGCAACTATTGGAGCCATATAAAGAAAAATGTTTTATTAATATGAAAATCAGTACAAAGGGACTAAGACATGTCATCGTCGGGTCATAAGAGTAGCCTTAGATGATTCGTTATAAACATATCTTTACTAGTGAGGCAATCCAACAATCCACCTACTGCTTACCTCCAATTACAAGTATTTCACCAATAGCCATTACAATGTTTGAAAGGGAGACAAACTCTCTTACAGGTACAAAGACTTAATCTCTTATGTAATTCTACCCTGTTATAGCTTTATACAAAGTTGGCTCATGACACTTAGAATGTGCTTGTGTTGTGTGACATTAACATCTTACAAAGTGCAATACATATTGCCCTTTTCCATGTGCATATCAATAATTAGAGGAGGTAACTGGGTGGGTCAGTTTAGGTTATAGGTCATTTCGGGTGTTTTTTGAGTTTTAGTTACTTTAAGTTCAAATTATTTTGGATTCAAGTCATT